TAATAAAATTCATCTACTTTTTATTTATTTTATTTGTCCAATAATAAAGGAAAATACATTTTCCTCAATAACTGGAGGAATTATACCACTGCATTTTTAAAATGAAAAACCCCACATATTTAACTGTTTCATTCAACTAGGGTTTACTTGGACCTGTGGTATAATGCTTGCATTAGTTGTTGTGTTTTTCTTTATACTGACAGCTATTCATTCCCCAGAGCAATATCACCATTTAAAAATACTTGATTTAACACATGTCTATATTTTTCATTTTATGATTATTGTATTAAGTTCTTTACATTTTGATATTTTGATTGGAATTGCACTAACATTGTTTTCAAACAATAGGTTCAGAAGCAAGGCATATGTTGGCTTTGATTAATATCCTTTATTTCTCCCATTAAGGTTTAGGAGAAGCAAATAAATAATAATTAATAAATAAATAATAAGGAAATGCCATATTAGCTTAAGTAGCATATAATTAATACTTGCATTGATATAGAGAATAGGATATCTTTTTTGTTCATTTTTCTTCATTTTATGACCATGATAGATTTTCTAGATCATCACAAATACCTTTTAGTTTACTACCCTGGATTTACACTATAAATGGTTTCTGAATGTGGATTTTTTTCTCTCTTTATTCCTGTATTGACTCCCATTTTTTTATGACTTGTCACAATGGCAGGAAAATTTAATAATATAGAAAGCTTGAGTATAATAAAGCATACCCTTGTTTTGTCTGGAAACGTGTGTAATATGTCATTGTTAAGTATAGTGACTCTTACTTTCAAGTAAATATCGTTACAAAAGAATCATTTTATGTTTAAACTTTAAAGAATTCCATAAAAATGTACAATTTTATCAAATGTCTTTTTGAACAATCTATTCACATATTTATCATGTTGTTTTTAATAATTCTGCTGATATTTATCATAATGGTTTTTCTAATATGATACTGTGTTCTAGGGATTAAATTTAGTTATGGCAAATGAACCGCTAAACATATTCATTTATTCCTTTTGCATTTCTTTTACTTAGGCTCCACGTAGGTTTGCCTACACAAGAGTTTTACCTTTAGCAATAAACTTGGCAGTATATAGGTTCAAGATGATGGGTGCCTTAAGAATACTGTGATGCTGGCTGAAGGGGTATTATTATTATTATTATAACATCATAACATTATAAAATGTAAGATCTGTTGGAGAACATCTAGTAGCCATGTTAACTCTCGGTTAACAATGGAAGAAACTGAGACACCAAGATGATAATGACTTGTCCAAGAGTACACAGATGGTTGGTGGCATGAAATAGAATAAAAACATACAAAACTGTGTTTTATGTTCTTAGGAGAAATAGCAACATTGAAATCCATTAATTCATTATAATTCATTATTATCATTGACCCAGTATTGCACTTTGAGCATAATCTCTGAACACAATCCACCCTCCAAAAAAGATTAAAAGTTTACAAAATGGGTCTTACGAGGAGATGTAAAAGGAACTGAGTTCATCTAGTTTATAGGAGAAAAGACTGAAAGGACTTAATGTCATTTTTATGCAAAAAAAGAATTCTTAATGAAAGGAAAGCCTGAAAATCTGCTTTACAAAAGTTCATGGAAGAACCCCTGGTAAAAATAACTGCCTGAGATCTCCAGGCAATGCAGCCATCATCTTCAACTTGTGAGCATCTCCCTGTGCTACGGCGGTGGGTAAAGAGGGGTGGCCATGCATGGTGGGGGAGGCCTGGCAAGCAGTCCCTGAACTTAATCATGGGTTTAAGTTTTTTTCAATAACCTACTACTTTGCTTATTTTAATGCTACTAGTGTCCTCATTGGCATTGTTTCCACATCAACATGGAATTTATTTTACTTAATAAGATGTTAGTTACTTTCAAATAATAGTGTGTTTCTAGGATATAGCTGAATACATACAACAAATAACTCTGGGTACCCTAGTTGATAATAATAGGAGAATAGTCATAATGATAAGATAGAGTTACCTGGGAACCCCAAAAGTTTATGAGCTGAAGAAAATTGTTCAGAATCCCCTTTTTTCAAAATTCTGTTAAGCAAACCCTTGTGAAGTCAAAAATACTATACTATGGAGGACTTAGTAAAGACATTTTGTAACTGCCTCTTTGCCTATCTGCCTTGCCCTCCTATACAGGTTGTCTTTTAAAGCAGGACCATGGTTTTTTCTTTTTTCTTTTGTATACAGATGGTCTATGTTAAATATTTGTTGAAGAAATAAATGGATGACGGGAATCTGGGCTGTCTTAATCCAATTGGGCTGCTATGACAAAATACCACAGATTGTCACTTATAAAAAAAACAGAAGTATATTTCTCACAGTTCTGGAGTCTGAGAAGCCCAAGATCAAGGCACTGGCCGATTCAGTGTCTGGTGAGGGGCCACTTTCTGGTTCATAGACGACCATCTTCTTACTACAACCTCACATGGCAGAAGGGGAAGTGAGCTCCCTGGGGTCTCTTTTATAAAGGCACTAATCTCATTCATGAGGGCTCTGCCCTCATGATGTAATCACCTCCCAAATGCCCCTAACCCCTCCCAAAGGTGGTTGATGTGAAAATAACCTCCTAATATCATCACATTAGGGATTAGGTTTCAGCATAGACATTTTGGAAAGACACAAACATTCAGTCTATAGCATAGCATAAACTGAATCTCTTGCTTAAGAAAGAATTTCCTTTGTTAATATTAGGAGAAACCCTCAACCTTAAAACATTAATATTACATTGAAAATCAGAGTTAACATTTTCAGATTCGTGTCTTCCAAGTCTTCACCTCCTTCTAAACTCCAGGCATAACAGATTTGTTTCCTGACCATGCCATCCTCTTTCACTTCCAAGCTCTCTCTGGCTAGAATGCTCCAGTCCCTAGTCTTTACCCAGCTAATTCCTATCTTTCCTTCATGACTCAGCTCAGGACCACCTCTTCCTGGGGACTTTCCTAGACGGTCCTGTCTCTGTGGCACAACTCTGTCTTGATAGCATGTGGTGCCCAGGACCATCGAATGACTTCTCTGTGCCCACTAGTCTGCTTTCCTTGAGGGCAGGGAGTGTGTCTCAGCCTATGTCTGCGCACCCAGTGCTTAGCATGGTGCCTGGTACACAGGAGGTGCTCCATAAATGCTTGTTGATTAGATGAGTAACTACACTAACCATTTTCCACTGGGGCTTAGCACAATGTGTTATATGCAGTAAATGCTTGATAAATATTTGAGGAACTGAGTGAACATCCTCCAGATGAAATGTGCTGAGTGACAGAGTGCAACTGGTTGGAAATGCAGGCTCTAGAATCAGTCTATCATTTACAAGCTATGTGACCTTGGGCAGTTACATAGCCTCTCTAAACTTTAGTTTCTAGTCTGTAACAACAGGGGTAACAGTAGTGCTGACCCCAGGACGGCCATGAGGGTTTTGTGAGGACTGGCTGCACAGTACTTAGCACACAGTACCTGAGCCCTGGCAGGTACTTGATAAACGTCAGCCATTATTATTAGGAAGTGAAGCACTGAGAGCTCTAAACTCGGCTTTTGCCTGTTACTGCGCTTTCCTCCCAACCAACCCTAAAGGGATGGCGCACTCAGTAGCTCTTTCTGTCATCCCAGCCTTGCTGAGGAGGGTGCCAAACAGGAAGCCCACCCATGTAGCCTTCACATTTCAGCCAGCTCATTCAGGGGCTGCCTGCTTAACAGTTTCAAATACTCCTTACTCTGGGTGCTCAATGGGAGCCTTCAGAATGCTACCATTAATAATTATCAGTTCTTTGGAACCCTGCAAGCTGCTGACGTGCTACAGAAACAGATTTAAAACCCAGTTTTTCTATAAGAAATAATCAAATGTGTTTTAGATTTCATTGGCTTTCAAGGCCTGTGTAAAATGCATACTTCAAACTAAGCACTGCCCTAGGTCTGTTATTTATGTTTTTTTAGGTTCATGTCATATATAGGTTATAATCTGAGAAATGCCCATGCAACAAAAGCATCCAGATCAAATGGCACTAACAAATTAAATAAACTTTATTTATTCTCGTTTCTGTTCCCTACATTTATTCTGCTTTCAAATTGCAACTTGGAAACTTTACCTATGCTTTAAAGATAAATGTGTTCTGCTTGAGTTCAAATTCCTGTTTAAGATGTTACAGAAGTCACTAATTAAGCCATAAATTTACAACACAGAACATGTTCCTTCACCCTCACATTTCCTGCACTGTCAGGGTCTCCTACTGCCACCATAAAGGTTACCTGGATTACTAGGAACAAAGGATTCTAAATGAGACAATCAGTGGCCCTTTAAGTCTATGCAGAGAACCAGTTTGGACCTCTGATGCTAATCTGTAGGGCTGCTAAATCCAAAAGGCAAATAATCCTGCTGTCACTTGCTGCCAGCAGAGAAAGGAAGCAAAAAACCTAAAGCCTCCTCCTTTCTGGGGTCTGTGATAACGATGATGATTAATATGCTCTGTGAAGCACAGTGGGCAAGTCGCCAGAGGGGTGCTGACGATGCCAACTGCATCCATTGCAAGGGAGATATTTACCCATGGGGAAGACAGCCGTCTGAAGCTTCCTGCCAGGGCTCACCCACAGCAAAGGCTCTCTGCCATGCACTCCTCCTGTTTAACCACTAGTCCTTCTCATGCTGGATTACCCCAGACCCAGCCAGGTCAAAGGGCACATGACAGGTTCAGACCACAAGACTGTGGGACCATGATACATAGGTGTTTGGGACCAGAGAGCAAAATTCAGAACCATGGTCTTTATAGTACATTCTCTCTTATGCTTGCTGTGGTGTGTTTTTCTTCAGACTTCCTAAGATTATGAAGCATGCCCACCCCATACGTAACAGCCAGAATAATAACCCACCTCAAACACTGTGTATTGTACCTCTGCTCTGTTCAGATCTATAGCAGTTTGCTGTCATAAGTATCTAAAAGCCCCGTCAGCTTAGAGATTCTAAGCACTCCTGACACTAGAATTACATCTAGGCTAGTCCTTGTTACCTTAACGGCTCTATAATCTTCCCTGGAGAGTGCCCACAGTTCATCTGCATATTTTTTCACACACCCTCTCTCCAGTTGTTTCATCAGTCCAACTTTGTTTTAATACATATCCTTAATTAATCAAAGCCTACCTTCAAATACTATTATACTGCTTTACCTATAGTGTAAGGACCTTATAACAGTATATTCCCAAGCCCTCCCTCTCATACCTTGAACTCAAACATTTTACATTTTACGTTATCAACATTTTACTTTCACACGTGCTATAAACACAAAATATATGCGTATTAATTTTGCCTTAGACAGTTTGACTAATTGAAAACAAGAAAAATTAATTTTCCTTTATCTGCATTTATTATATTTCAAGCTCTCTTTACTTCTTTGTGTAGATTTACGTTTCTGTTTGATGTCATACTCCTTCACCTGAAGAAGTTCCTTTAATGTTTCTTGTACTGTAGGTCTGTTGGTTATAAAGGCTCTCAGTTTTTATTTGTTGAAGGAAATCTTTATTTCTTCATGTTTGAAAGATATTCTCACTGGGTACAACATTCTTGGTTGACTTATTTTTTCATTTTAGCACTTTAAAGATTATCTTCTGGCTTACAAGGTTTCTGACAAGAAATGTGTGGTGATTCTATCTTTCTTTCACTATATGTCTTTTTTTCTCCCTGACTTCAATAGTTTATCTCTTGTTTACAGCAGTTTGATTACAATATGCTTGGGTGTTTTATTTCTTTTTTTTTTTGTATTTACCCTGTTTGGTATTCTCTGAGCTTCATGTATCTGTGCTTTGGTGTCCATCATTAATTTTGGGAAAATTATTTCTTCAATTTGAATTACATTTAAATTCTTCTGCCTCATTATCTCTCTTTTTCTTTCTGAGATTTCAATTACATGTATATTAGACCATTTGATACACTCAGTGTTTTTTGTTTTTTTTTTTAACTTTTTTCCCCCTTTGTGTTTTAGTTTGGGTACTTTCTTGAAGTTCTTTGAGTTTTTCCTTGGCTGTGTTGATTCAACTACTGAGACTGTTAAGACATTCTTTGTCTCTTATTGTTCTTCATTTCTGGTATTTCTATTTGATGTTTTTATACTTTCTATCTCTCTGCTGAAATTTCCCATCTGATTTTGCATGTTGTTTACACTTTCCATTAGTGTCTTTTAACATATAAATCTTATTTTAAATTCCTTGTCAAATCATTCAGATACCTGTGTCATATCTAGTTCTATTGATTGCTTTGTCTCTTGGTAGTGTGTTGCCTTGTCTTGTTATTTTTGTATGTCTCATAATTTTTGTTGAAAACCAGGCAGTCTGTGTAGGACAGTAGGGACTGAAATAAATAGTTTTATGCTTGGAAATGGGTTTTTGCCTTTCCTACAGCTCAGGCATTACTATGGCTTTTGAGTTAACTTTGTTAGTAGTTAAACTGGGTTTGAGGTTTGTTGCTGCTGTGTGGGTTCCTTCAGGGCACCAAGGCTTCAAATACCTCTAGGGATATCTGTTATGTAGGACATGGGGTGGTTTTGCAGAGAATTTTCCTTGTTGTCTGCTGCACCCTTAGAGTTGGGCCTTTCCTTTGCACTGTGTTTCAGAGATGGTCTATTTCCACATTCTTACAACTCTCCTACCAATATTCCACTGCCACTTGTTACACACAGTGCTGGTTATTCTGATGGTGGGGGTGGGGATAGGGAGTGTTCTGATATTTAAGTCTCAATCTGAGATGGGCACTGCATCCCTGGGTTTCAGAGTGTGATCTTCTTAGTGCTCCTGCCCTCCCACAGCTGTAGTTCTGGGCCCACCATGCATTCCTGCCCCTCATCCAGGCATAAAGGGTTTGTTTTTCCTGTTCCTTTCTTCTAGATACAATAGGTTTCCAGCAGTTCCCCAAGGATATATTATTGTCCTTTTCTCTCCACGGATTAGGACTTGTGTTCCACAGGTAAAATACAGGAGAAGGGTCCTGGAGGGGTTTCCTCCACAGCAGCTGCTGTTTCTCTCCTGAGAACTGCACCACAAGGGGCGCCTTTCTCAGGATGTCTGCCAGCCTTTTTTGTGAGTGCCTGGCGGGTAGGGGTCCGTGGAGAAAAGTCTGCAAACAGGGTGTCAACACCCCCTGCATGTGGCCGCCCCAGAGGCGTCATACTTGGCCTTCACCAATTCATTAACTTTTCTACCTGAAATTTTCTTCTTTGCATCCAGTTGCCCATTAAGCCAGTAAACTTCTTCCTGCAGTTGTTGTTGTAAGGGTTGGACCAAAGTTCTTTCCAGATCTCTACATTCTGAGCAGAAACTGGATGTTTCTTTAATCCTCCTTTAAGACATGTCTACAATATCTTTCCTCAAGGAATCCTTCCTGGATAACCCCCCCAATGACTTTCACCTTTATTTACTACATTATTTGTATTTTTACTTTATTTCCTTAATACTATATGACATTTTAAAACCTTCATTTCATTGTATAAGTACAAATTGAACATCTACTGTGTGCCAGGTATTGGAAATACAAAGAAAAAGGGTACAGTTTTGACTTTTAGAAAGCTGGGACAGATAAGTAAAGCAATATTTAAAATGGTTACCACTGGGTTGGGGAAGGGTGTGAGATCAAGATGGGTCATGCACAGGGTTTCAAATGTATTGGTCTTGTTTTATTTCTTAGGCTGAGGATGGACATTCAGATGCTTGCTTTATTGTTATTATTCTTCAAATTGTGCAGATACATTATATTTGCTCTTTCGTATTTCCAAAAATGTCTCTCAATTAAAAACTTAAAGCAACACCGGAAGTCATCACATTGCAGAGGTCATCAATATGCACATATAGGAAGAATGAAAAATAATTAAATGTTATTCAGATGGGTATTCAAGACTTGGGTTAAAATTTCCATGATAGCATCCTACGTGGATTTTTTAAGATGTCGTATCTCAAATGCTTATGTGCAAGTGAAGTTGGTGTGTTCTGGAAAACTGAGTTAGAGAACTTAAAGGATGGCTTTAATGTTGACAAATACGCTAATGTTGACAAATAGGAATGATATAAATAATTTGAATAAAATTGTTTCATGATGTTTACAAAAAATTCATAATAAAACAACATGATAAGTGCTGTCAAGGAAGTATTTATAGGTTGCTATAGGAACACAACAGAGAAAAGTTCCATAAAGATTGTGACATTGAAATTCAGTCTTAAAGAGTGAGTAGGCACTCTCCAAGGGTAAAAGGTATGCAAAAGAACATCTTTTACAAAACCACAGAGCTATGAAATTATATCATCCACATAGGAAACCACTGGCATTAATATTTCAGTACAGTCAGAAGGAAACATGATAGAGTAGCCTTAAGTGTCATGCTAAAAAATCCTCATTTTATTCAAGAGATAACAGGGAAGTATTGAAGAATTTTAAGCAGCTGGGTGACATGATGATACACATTACCTATGAAGCATGTGGATAATAGTTGGAAGGGACTGGGCTAGAAAAGGGGAAAGCAGTGAATCATCACAGAAATGTCAACAAAAAAAGGTGGCATGGGAAAGAGAATAATAAAAGTGGTTGTGTAACCAGTGCAGGCCCCATTTTGAAATTTTCCTGCCAGTTTCTTAATGAAGAAATATTGACCTTTACCCTCCTCTTTTTAGCTGGCACTTCCTTGCACAAGTTTCCTCTATCAAATTATGTGCTTGTTTAGAGTTCTGGAGACTGAGTCTGGAAGCAATGCAGACCCCCACCGGGAGATCACCTCAAGGCAGCCTTTGAGACAACATCAGCCCATTCACCAGGTGGAGCAATAATTCAAGACAGTCATCATGTTGACCAGCACCTCCCTGCCACTCCTGCATGACCTTCATGCCAAATTCCCTTTTTAAACCCTACCCTCAGCCCACGACTTCAAAATGGCTTCTTTGAGGCACGAGCCATGGCCATTTCCCCACTGCCAGCTCCGGAACAAAGTCACTTTCCTTTCACTCCACCTCCTCCCTGTCACTGGCTTTCCTGCAAGAGGCGAGGAGTCAGGCCTGTGCCTGATTAGGAGCAGCAGGAATACCAAGGAGGGCCCAACCTGAAGAGACACCTGAAAGTTGGAATGATGGAAACTTGGCCACGATGGATGTGGGGGTAAGTGAGGGAGTGTGGTCTAGGGTGACTGTGGTCTAGAGTGACACTGGGCTCCTTAGGAGATGGTCTTGATCTTTACTGAGGTAAGAAATGTAGGGAAGAAGCAGATGTGAGGATGCATAGAAATTGTCAACTCAGTCTTAGACAGGCTTTGTTAAGTTAATTGGCTGTGGGACAGACATCCAAGTAGAGAGGACCCCATTGTCAGGAGTCTGATGTATGGGTTTGGAGCTCCCACAGAGAGCACAAGGAGAAGAAAGGAGAGTCAAGAGGGAAACCAAGAATGACAACACAAAGTCTGAGAGGAGAAAACAGCCCACAAAAGACCAGAGAGGAGCTGCTTCATACTTGTGGGGCAAGTGACTGTCACATCGCTTGAAGTACTCAACTAGAGTGGTATAATTGCTTATTTCAGGGTAATGATGTTTAATGGTGTTACTTAATGAGAATGGGATTTGTGTTTACTTCTTATTTTACCCATATCTCTTTTACTTTGGCTGACATTGTGCAACCTCCCAGTAAATATAATATCAAAATGTCAATGGTTCTTTTTGAAAATCAAAGAGAAAAATAAATCAAAAAGAAGACCCACAGAAACATGTACCACTGATCAAATCAGTAATATTATTAAATAATAAAAAATAAGACAAGGTTTTTTTCCCCCATGGCATTGAGTGCACTGAAGTTTTTGCTTTTTAGCTTGGTTTTGCATCAGCTGCACGCCTGGTAGGCTCACTTTCTCATCACTGGCAAGTGAGTGCTGTCAGTGCCTGCCTCAAACTACTTGCCCTCCCTCTTGGTTTTCATTAAGTGAGTATGAGGAGAGAAGGATGGAGCCTGACCTGTGGGGCTGCAGACTTTAAATCAAATTATTGTCATGTTCCCTAATTACTGTTCAACATCTGGAGTCTTAAGTGACACAAACCAGTGGTGCCACTTAGAATTTTCATGCAGCGCTAGGAGTCTGAGGCCGTGGTGAAGTTCAATACTGAAGCATGAATTTTACTGCTGTGTTTTTCATAAAAAACTGTTATACACTTAAAAAAATTAATCATTGGCTCTAATAGCTAAAAACCAATCTCTAATAGCTAAAACACATAGCTCTTGATAGTTTATAATACATTTATACCTGCATTCTCTCACTTGAACACCACAGTAACTTAGTAAAATAAATAATAATGTGATTTATCTATTTTTGCAGATGAGAAAACAGAGGTTTAGAAGTTATTAGGTCACACATATAGCAAGTGGCAGGGTGCAGAGTCAGTCTCAGGTTTCCAAATTCCAAACCATGATCCTTCTCCTACACCACACCATCTCCCATATGGAACCATCACTTTGGATCTGTTTGATCATTGCAGCCTCACCCTCTCTGAATAGCCGCATCTTATTATGCAGACACAGAAGAAAAGTGGCCAGTGCAGCATTAAGATGATCCAGTGGGATCCAATTTCCCAGCTGTACAAATGAACTACTGCATCATATTCCCAGACAGGGAGCAGCATTATAGAACAGCTGAAAATCTAGTCCATCAAAATATTTATGACTTACAGAGACTGTAAGAAGAAAATCTCTTGCCACATTTAACAAGGCATGAGGAGAAGGCAGGAGATGGGGCACATACATCAACAGCTCTAAGGTTGTTAGTTTTCATTTCCACTTGCTACAGTATTAATTTTTAGGCCTGGGATGGTAGACCCCCAGCATGCATGCCATCATCTCCTTTCCCTGCATTCACAGCAGACATTACTAAGCAAACATGACACTCTTTCTGATAGAACTCAAATTGCTCTCCTGCTTCACTTTCAGCATAGCATCTAAGTGGGCTATTGATCAAGACTGGCATGCCAGATAGAATATTTGGAATTCCTTCTTTAGGTCAATGATCTGCACCACTTTGTGTTATCACAAAGCATCACGAGCATAAGTTCTGAAGTGGTTTGAATCAAAGAACTCTTACGCTTTAAATCAGTGACTTGGTCAAGTCCCTTCAAGTCTCTCTAGCCTCAGTTTCCTCATCTATAAAGTGAGATTAATAATACCTTATAGTACAGTGTTATTGAGGGGACTAAATGAGCTAATAAATATGAATAACATAGCTCACTGAATCACATAGCTCATTGCCTGGCACATAAGTACAGAGTGAATGGTGACCTTGTTACTAAGGTTACATAAAGCCCACGGCAAAAGGAAGAATAATTAATTTTAAGAGTTTGATAAGAAGGCACTTACTAATATGATTAAAATTGAGAAATCAGATAAACTTAATGAACATTAAATAATGTATTAACTGATTTTTCAATGATAACTTTTAAGTTTCTCTATTATACATTCTCTCTTTAAAACAAATCTGTACTTACAGAAAAGGCGTCTCAAGAATAAAGCATATTTACAAAGGGTATTGCTAAACCTGACCTTTTGGCTTCCTTCTCTTGGTTCTTAACAAAAAGCATTACTTGGATTGGTATAAGAGAACTGAACTTAAATGCAATAGAGAACTTCGATCTAAAAGGAAATTCTTATTTGAGATGATTTAATGATAACTACATGGAGAATTAATTGGCTATTTTACTATCAAGCAAAGTAAAAGAGAAAGAGCAAAAGCAAGGCATTTTGCTTGGATAAGAAAACAAAACCGGGAATTGTTCAAGGAGTGGTTCAAGGAGCTTTTCCAGAATGGTTTTGAGTTTTAAAGGAGATTTGCAAATCTATCTAATATTTTGAATTATAATAATTCAAAATTAGTACTGAGATAGTACTGAGAGATAGTACTGAGAATGATAAGCAGGCAAATAAGCCACTAAAACTAAATTCTGTATTTTTGGTATATGCTTCAGTAAAGAAACTGAGATACCAATCTAATTTCAGATGAATGTTTATAGACTCTAAGCTAGAATTCATTCAATTGGGAAATGACACTATTCTAAAAGGAAATCTCATAAATGATACATTTACTCCACATATGTATTTTATGGACTAAAAGACACATATATAGTTTCTTGGGCAATTTTTGATATTAGGATTATTTATATGTATAGATAAATTATACACATATACATATATCAATAAAATACATAAATAATTCTGATATCAAAAGATATGTACATATACATACACACCACGCACACACACCCCCATACACATATATTTAGAGATGGGTTCTTGCTATTTGCCTAGGCTGGATTCAAACTCCTGGGCTCAAGCAATCTTCCTGCCTCAGCCTCCTGAGGAGCTGAGACTACAGGCACACACCATCACACATGGCTTGAATAATATTTTAAAATAGACTTTCTGATATACTGATTCAGTGTAACATTTAAGATTTAGGAGTTATTTTTAAAATAGAGAATATGCTCACTTCAAAAGCTTTATAATGTACTTCTAGAGTACACAATAAAATTTGAATAGTGATCTGACAATTATATGACTATCTGTTAAGCATGTCTCTTCAATCATATGTTTATTCATATGTTCACTCATTAACTAAACAAATATTACTCTATTACTATATATAAGCAATTGGGATTAAAATGATAGATGAGACAGAATTCTCCCCAAGGAACTTACAACTATAGCATTGGCAAAACAAATGATCTATTGAATGAAGGATTACACTAAATGGTATCTAAGACTCTTTCATCTTTGAAGTCTATGTCTCAACTATAAAACGTTTTTTAAAATAAGAGTATCCATGCTGGAAAGGGTGTTGTGAGGTGGGAACTCTTCCTACACAACTGGTGGGAGTATAAACTGTACAAGCTTATTCTGGAAAGTAATTTCACAATATGTATCAAGAGTCTAAAAAAGAACCAGAAATTTCACTTCTTAGCAACAGTTCTGAAAAAATAATTAAAAGTGTGGACATGGATAAACAAAGATGCTTGTCACATCTTTATAATGGTTAAAAACTTGGAAACCAAAACATCAAAGAATAAAAGAATGGGTAAACAAATTAGACAGATCCCTACAACAGAATACAAGGCAGCCACCAAAACGGTATTTATGTGAAATTTGTAATTGGTCAATGCTCATGTTAAAATTCTAAGAACAAAAATTGGGCATTCAGTCATACATACAAGACACTTTCATCTTGTATGTACACACACACACACACACACACACACACACTCACTATATATAGTTATTTATATTTTATTTAGAAAGAACATCAAAATGTTTGGAAATGAAAGATTTTTGTCTAGTGGCATTCAAGTGGCTGTAAGATTTCCCAAAGTCCTTTTTAGCCAATGCTACTTTTTTGCATGAGTAATTTGGGTCCTCATATATCCAAAGTGATTTCATAATACTTCTCTTGATCAAAGAGAGAATAGGGTTTAGAAATTCATTCTGAAACACTGGTATTTTGACATTAGTAAGTTAAATGTATTAAGAATGACTAAGACTCATACTTCTGTTTTAGAATATTAAATATAGAGATTTAACCACAAGCCTAGCTTGTTAAAGATGATTTTTTTTTTATTCCCCAGAGTGCCGAAAGTTAATAATAACTTTTTTCCATGGAAAGGGTGACGATGGCATGTGGGAAGTCTTCGAATGTCTAACTTTTGGTGTTTAAGTGCTATAAAAGAATTATTATCATGATTGGGTTAACTAGTTGCATTTCATGACTTACATGAAAGAGAAAGAGACACACGTTTATCTGCAATTTTTGTTCTTAGAATTTTGTAAAGCACTTTTCTAAAATTGACTATAAAATTTCAAAGGAAATGTACTTTTTTTGTTTTAAATGTAGTGGTATTATTCAAGGTCTGATAAGTGTCAGTGATTAAAAATCTATGAATGTATGGGTTATTATTTGAAGTGATTTATCAAAGACAAGCACATGCCAACAGTATATGTTGCATTAGTAAGGATGGGGAATAAGAATGATAAACAAAATCAAAAGCCAAAGGTTCGGATGAGCCCACGCCTTTATGGAGGAGTGTAGGTTTCCCCGCTGGTCATTTCTGGGGTCATTAGGCAGCTTGATGGGACTAATTATATCGCATAATTCTGTTACTTCAATCCCTCTTCCTTTTCTCCCATGATGGACCCTTCCAAGGAGCATTAATAAGTATTACAACTTAATAACTAAAATTTTTATTTCCTTTCCTTCCATTATTCTCTGGTTTGCACACTATATATGGAGTAGTGAAATAACAGAGACTTCCATTTATTTTAACGTTTATTAAATGCCTGGCTCCTTACAAGAGTTATCTTTTTAAATCCTTCTAATAACCCTGTAGAGTGGGAGTTATTTATTTGCTTTGTAGAGAAGCAAACTGACTCAGATGGATGGTAAACTGCTCCAATGTCAGTGAGTCAGAGGCCAGAACTTAACATCTGCAGGACTTAACATCTGCCTGCATTCTTTGCACCATACCCGCCAGTGGATGACAAAATGCCTGTGGGGTAGGCGGCGATGAGAATAAAAGTGAACTGGATCAGGGAACACCAGACAGGGAGGGACTTACCAGCAGGCCTGATAGTGCCATTGGGTTGACTTCCAAACTTGTTGGTTTTGCTACCTCCTCCCAAACCCCCTTTCCAAACAGCACCTCCAGGGCTGTAAAATATTCTTTCTACCTGAAGATAACTAAGCTTCAAAGAAAATTTTAAGGTTGGGCCTAGGTTCCTCTTGCCTAGAGAATAGAAAGTCTAGAAAACCAGCTCCTGGACCAGCTAGGACTGTTCCTTTCAGATAACCCAAAAAACTATGTTCTTGGAAAACTCTAAATGGTGCCAAGAAGGGGTCCTGGTCATGTGAGAGTTACAGTTAGGAGCAAAAGCACATTATCATGAATCAGAGCCTAAGCAGAATTCTGACTGCAAGGGAGAAGCCCCTTAACTGCGTGAGGACACGTGCATGGAAAGGGATGTGGGTATTTATAGCCTCCTCATGCCCACCTCCTCTCTGGGGTCAGCATGGGATAGAGTCAGCAGGTAACGAAATGTGATATCCAGCCACACATAAATGATTTAAAAAGAAGAAAGCAGAACTGATAAAGGAAGACTTCAGAAAGGAGTTAGAGAACAAAGTATGGCACTCACCATTAACTTACGAAAGTAACGGACAGCCAGAATAATTCCAGAACTGCCCGAATGATTTAAAAGGTACCAGGCTGTTTTGAAGCTATGCACGGCTGGAGTGCAAGGTCCCAGAGCCTGGTTCCCAGGCTGCGGCCCTGCTCTGCTTGCAGGCTTGCTAAACGGGGCTGGGCCAGGGCTGGAGTCTGTCATTCACTCCTTGAACAACGTGCAGTAAAATCCTCCTTTACTTTCATGCTTTGAGGCTTTGCAGTGCAAGAGACTGTACTAAATGTGAGAATGGCCAAGAGGAAGAATGCCACTCAGTATTCCTACCCTATCCCATAAACCTCTTTGAGAATCTTCATCCATCTTTGAAGTTTTTAAACCTCATTCATTAAAACAGTGAATTATTCAGTTATCACGTACGAAGTTGAAAATAAATTGCAATCCAACCCCCAACCTTCACCCTGGTCTGTTTGCAGTTCCTTCTGCTTGCCATGAAAGTTCACTTTGAGAGCGTCTGTAAGGCTTTGAGGCTGCTTGTGAGTTTGTGAGAGAGAATGTGAGGATGATTTGTTACAGGCTGGAAAGTAGAATTTGCTTCCTTTCAGCTTTGAGATTTGGGGCTTAATCACTTTCCAGTGACTTATGGGAAAAAGTGTCAGGCAGCCAAGCTCACTGCAGAACTCTCCCCGGGGCTGGAGGTGAAGTGTGAAAACAAAAGCTGTGTACCTGTTGTCTGCGGCAGGCCTGAGCAGGTGAGAACCAGCAGGGTGGGACCAGAGCCCTCAAGGAGACATCAGCCTAGTCCCTAGTCCCAGTCTCATGGCAGGCAGCTCCTGCCACTTCAGTCTTGGGCAGAATACAAACTGCTGAGAAAAGTTCTCCCAATAACACTGGATGTTGTTTCAGGAAGGAAAGTAGTATGGAGAAATTGCCTGGCTTTCTCAAAGCAGATATAACTGCCACGTCACATTAATAGTGAATGACATATTAGAAATGACATTTGCTGGCAGTGATATCAAAGTGTGTTTTGCAGAAAGGCATGGCTGCACTCTCAACTCCAAAACTTGTCTATTTTCCTTTAATAATTTATGATTAATTTATCCTTAATGCTTTTGTCAAGATGTTTCATGAAACTAAATGTTTACTACCTTTAAAAGGTAATGATTACTTCTAAAGTTAAATACTATTTCCTTATAATACAAATAGTTCTTTTATTACAGGTTCTTATTTTAAACAATTTACACTTATCATTTTTTCTGTAATGTATGTTATGCAAAAGGCAGTGTGGTCCCATTTTGTCTTCAGATATATTTAATACAAATGAGAGAGGTCAAAATTAATATAGCTCTCATGATTACTTGATATAGGAGATACTAAGATTAATACATGTGATAACGGACTAAATGGACAACACAGGATTATATGAACTTGAATAATTTGAGAAAGCCTACAACATTCCAAAAGAGATGTATATATTATTTATTTGAAGAAAAATATTATGGAAAAATAAAAGTAGCATTTGGTTTCACAGAAAAAAATTGCTAATATAACACTTCATTAAAAATTTAGATCGCTCTCAATATTTTAAAACTAAATCTTGCTAAAATATATATTCTTCTGAATAAATTTGAGATTGTACATTGGAGAGAAGAACAGACTTTGGAATTAGGTCTTGGTTCAAAGCCTGGCTTTCTCACTGATTATCTGATTTTAAAATGATTATTAAGCTTCCCTGAACTTGAGCTTTCTAATCTATAAAGTGGATAAAAAGGCCTCCTTTGAATAAGGGTCTTAATAGGGATGAAATATGCACCACTTCAATGAATCAGAAATTTGGTAGATTTGACATGAACTGCAAATATTGTATGTTGACTAAGGAGTGATAACCACTTTTAATTGGTAAATGGAGCTGGATCATAAAATTGATTACACATACAGTTTGAACATTCTTAATATGAAAATCTGAAATCTGAAA